ATAGGTCAACAGGAAAAAGGTCCAATACTAACAAGCTGAAAGGGGGCATATCTCCACCTATCGTAGAGGAGTCGCACGTACTTGGCTCAATAAATGGATTCCCCTCCCGTGCTTGTATACTGGGACAAGGACAGTAGGCCAGTTACATGTCCTCGTCCAGCTGTGACTGCAGCTCCACTTCACTGTACATGTAAACGTACTGAGTGTTTGGTTTGTCCGTAGTGGGCTACTGTAGAAACAACATGGCGATCTCTGTAGACAAGGACCTGCTGCTTATGTAGATATAAACAGCTCATTTTAAGGTAATGAAAACACACAACGATCCTTATTTACAGGTGATTACACGCTAAAGAAAACATACTTTAGCCTGGGTTTGTTGAAGGTGGCAGTACTGTTTGGGCTGAGAAAGCCTGTGAGTTTATCTATCTCCTTTAACTTTAGCTTATATTGGAGTTATGCTATGTAGCGTGTGAAATAGAGTATGGTGAATGTGCTAGGAAAGGTAGTATCAGCACTGTCTCTACCTGGAGCTTGCATAAATGGAGCCTGGGTTTGTTGAAGGTGGCAGTGCTGTTTGGGCTGAGAAAGCCATGTGTAAGTAAGGTAAAGGAGGTTGTTGGGTTGGTGCGGGGAGCAGTGAGACCTGGCATTAGGGGAGTGTCTCTGGGACGCCAGAGATCACTGTCTAGCCTCCTGGAGGTGTCGTGGGACCAACTAGATGAAACACTGGTGAAAGGAGGTTCGCACCTGATGACTCCAAAGACATGTTAGTTATTACTGCTCACTGGTTTGTATAGTTAAGCCTTGATCACTGAGCACTGATCCTTTCTCATATCAACACATTTGTGTCCAGTATTGGAGAGAAAAGTCTTTTGTGTGCATCAAAACATCTGAGATCTTTATTTCATCTCATGAAAAATGGGAGCAAAAACAAAAGTGTTGCTTTTGAATATTTGTTCAGTGTAGTTAAACCCTTTCTGTCAGAGCACCAGAGTAAACTAAGGTTGTGTTTCTGTGATCCAGCAGGTCAAATATAAACCAGCACATATTGACCCAGCAGCTCCATTCATCAGGCCTGATTTATCAGATTCACATCCAGCCTCTCAACAGCATTGATTCACTGGGCTGTTTGGAATTTGCTGTGTCCCTGTTTTTCAGCCGGGCACACATGATGTCTACACAGCAGCTTTCTGTGTGTTTCATTACTTATCTCCAAGAATTGTACTTGATCTGATATTATAAAAGAACAAAAGTCAGATTTGGTTCTGTGGTTCAGCTGGAGCTTATCTCCCGGCCCGGAGGTAAAGCATGCATCAGATCAGAGATACGTAAGCACTGCTGGACACTCGTCAGCAGACTGAGTCGGTGTCGATGACTCCTCGCTCTCACCAACCTCTTGAGCCGCTCAGCAAAGACGAGAGCTGGAGGTGTGAGGGCGGCAGAGAGGAGGAACAGATAAGAGATGAGGAGGAAATGTAGCATTTAAGCAAAGCGAGGAGATAGCTGACTGCATGTCGTCCTTGAGTGGGTGTCTCCTGTCGACTAGCCCAGTTTCATATGTGTGTGTGTGGGTTATAATTAGTACAGCTGATGCGTCTGTGTGCTGGAATCTGTTTGTTATATGGGACACCACAATGGGTGTGAAGTGTGTGTGTAGTGAGAATCTTTCATCAGGACTTCTTAGAAACTTTGTGAAGAACACCAAGGACGAAACTCGTCCTTATCGGCGGGTTTTTGTTTTTAATCATCCACATAAACAGAGTTGTCTTCGACCACATCAGCTGATGCACCACAGTGTTTGTTCTGATCAGAAAGCAGCATCAGCTCAGGTTTTTCGAAACAAATTCTGACATCACATCCAGAGATGAAACACACAAAGCAACCTGTTTAATCTGTAGTTGATATTTTGAGTCTTTTTACAGTTTATGAGGAGGTGGTGAGTCACACCGCGACGCATCATCAGCAACACAACTGTTACTGTGTTGTGGCAACAGATTTGCAGACTTGCAACATCAACACAGCGCTGAGTATGACCAGTGGCTTCTGACTCACACAGTGACTCAGCACTGGACCAGTGACTCAGAGTGACAATGAAATTATTGACACTGGAGCTGTGCGTTATTGAAGAGCACTCTGTAGTGGTGTGTTCAGGGACCACTGTGCTTGTTTACCGTCATTGTTTGTAGGACGGAGTTGCTGAGTTTGAGGGTTACCTGGAGTTTGTAGCTACAGCACTTCACCTGTGTCTGTGGATCATTCAGATGACCATAACTAGTCCTGCCATAAGTAATACTGAGAATATAGATTAGTGCAGGTTAGTGGTTTTGAGATGCATGCTGACTGTTGTTTTGGTATGTATGCCTACGAACACTTTGTTATAGATATTTACAGAAAAATGCAAGTTGATTTTTTTCTTCTACAGTACACACGTGTTTACTTTGTAAAGTTACAGGGCCCCATTTTTTTTTGTGTTAAATAGGGATGCACCAATGTATCATTCGCCTTGTTGACTGTCATCGGCCTGTTGGCAAATAAGGTGGTGGCAGTGGCCAATGTTTTTCTGTTGTGTCACATCAATTTTGCGCAGGCTAAAAGCAGGGCGTCAGCAGGAGGAGAGCAGGTTAACATTAGCTGTTAGCAGCCCATGGCAGCAACTAACAGCTTACAGAGGTGGCATTGAGTTACATTATGATGCGTTCAAGCTCTGTTCAGTAAAAATGAGTATTATGCTGAGGGAAATTATAACGTTCTCATGATGTGTTTAGTGTAATCTTGTAAAATGTAGTTTTTTTGGGAAAAAAATGAAAAAAATGAATTCAGTTGTTTGAAGGAGATATTTGTTGATGTTTTCACAGAGTGTAACCTATGATGTATGTCGTAAATAGGCTTTTGAAGCTGTTACTTAAAAAAGTAAAAAACATGTAAATGTTGCTTCATAAAAATCTATGATTGAATTTGTGCTTATTTCAAAGGTAGTGTAATGAAGGACTGAATGACTTTAAAACTGTTCAGTTATTTTTTAATATTGCAGATTTCAATGCTGACTTCTACGTCGGCCTACAAAACAACATCATCCCTGGAGCACTCTGTTGTAACACATGGCTCATGTTGTGAAACGGTCACAGTTGGGTTTAAGCAACAAAGGTCATGTTTTGGGTCAAGATAAGAACATTTGTTACATAACAATAATGTAATGTGTTGAAAATACGTCACGAGTGAAGTCAGTGCGCGATGACTGTACAGAAATTACATGACCTTATGTTAAAAAAAAATACTGACCTCTGGTTTCACACGGGACACAGACTGTGGTCCCCTGGATGAAAGTCTTGTGCTGTTTGACCCGTCCACCTCCCCTCCGTCCTGCCCTGCTCAAGCTCTCTTCCTCTTTCCTTTACGTGAGTTGCTCTCAGTGTCAAGTTCTGCAGATGGGTTTACACTGGAGTTAGCTGAAAGCTTGGTGCATCTCATAAAGATGCTTAAAGGTGCCTTTGGTGGTGATGTGACACGCTGCAGGGCGTGACAGTGTGTGGGTATTTGAGAAAGGGCTGAACACGAAACTCGCCAAATCCTGTCATCTGCAACCAAACAGAGGATCATCTCAACTGGACCAGAACTAGTGTTTTGTGAGCTGCCATTTTAAATCTGGATAGAGTGAATAAAAAAGGCTGCAGTTGCTATTGATGGTAGCTTGGCTATTTAAAGGGGAACTAATGTTGTTTTCAACCTGGGCCCTATGTTCCGATCTGCTTTTGTCTAAATGAGTGATAGGATGTTCAATATGTGACATGTCTCCAGTATGAAGCTAGGGCTGACCTGCCTGCAGCCCGTGAGCGCGCGCTATATTAAATAATAGGGCACTCAGACAGCGTCAAACAACGTCAAAATACGTCCACTAAAAGTGCATTTTTTTCACACAGATAGGCTCGGATTGTTAGTATAATTATCTGACAACATACTAATAATCTGAGCCTATCTGTGTGAAAAAAATGCACTTTTAGTGGACGTATTTTGACGTTGTTTGACGCTGTCTGAGTGCCCTATTATTTAATATAGCGCGCGCTCACGGGCTGCAGGCAGGTCAGCCCTAGCTTCATACTGGAGACATGTCACATATTGAACATCCTATCACTCATTTAGACAAAAGGAGATCTGAACATAGGGCCCAGGTTGAAAAAAAAAAAAAAAAGTTCCCCTTTAAAAATGGCGGTGTTGTGCAGGATGTCTGGTGTCATGTTAGTGGTGATTCTCTCTGACCAATCAGTGGTCTGCAGTGTTGTATCGTCAACCGACTGAGGTGGTACCAGAACAGCTACCAGGTACTATCCACAACTTGTGCTGATGGAAACCAAAACAGATCAAGTCAAGTTGAGCTGCACCGTACAGTGGAAACACAGCATATGTAACTAAAGATGTTCTGTGCATTCACCCGATCAAATCATGTAGTTGACCTGAAGTGGTGGTCGAGTGGTGGTAGATCTGTTATTGGCTCACCGTGACACTGACAAACAGCTGACAGCAACTTGAGACATAATTAGCTTCCCAGGTGATGTCATTGTGTCTTGTGTTGCACCACTGAAGGAAAGTACACTGCTAACAGCAGTTTACAGGCTACAGTAGATAGAGTGTTACCGAGTTAGCTGATCGTAGCATATTGAAGATTAACAGCATCTACAAATGTCAGCATTATTCAGGTTATCTGCTAACTGTGCTACTTTATTTTCAACACCACTGCCAACAGGAAGTTGTCTGTCCAGGAAAAGTTTCCAGTGTTCTCGCACTCAATAAGACGTCCACTCAGAGGTTTGAAAGCTGAAGGAACATTTCTGTTGTAACGCCAAAGACAATTTTTGTTCTTTTCGGGACCGGAAAATATTGCAGTACATTTGAAAATCACTTTAACACATCTTTGTGACAGTTTGCCTTTCAGCTGGACACATTTCCCATAAGACAGATTTTGCCCTTTTTACTCAAAACTCTCTTCTTTCTCTCTCTGTTTTCAGAACACGATGAATCTTCCTCCAGACAAGGTGAAGATCCTCAGTCAGTATGACAATGAGAAGAAGTGGGACCTGATCTGTGACCAGGTGGGTCTGCGCTCTGGATTTACCGCCTGTCATCCTGCACCTCCCTCTGGTTTCCTTAAAGAAAAATAAGCCAATTAATGTCACATGTTTTATGTTCAGTGCTACGCAGAAGCAGTGTAGAGCAATCAATACAGTGACTGATGCAATGTGAATACCAAACATCAGAAACACACACACACGAGGAAGCTCATAAATATTGTACATCACCGTAGTAACCACAGGAAGATCTATAACAACCTGCTACATGAATGGAGAGTGACAGAGGACACCTGTAACCATCATACACTCAGTCAGCTAAACTTTGATCCCTGTAAACGCTCACTGACAGATTTCAATAACAGGCAGAAGAGATTAAAGGGGTGTGTGTGTGTGTGTGTGTGTGTGTGTGTGTGTGTGTGTGTGAGTGAGTGTGTGTGTGTGTGTGTGTGTGTGTGTGTGTTACAGCTGGACTGTATGAATAAAACTGCTGCACAGCTGTAACAACCATTTCTTGTTCAGATCGACTCCATTTGCATAAGAGACGCTGTGTAATCAAACTGCCTGAGAGACCCGGCTGAGCTCTGCCCTCTGGGCCCCCCTCCTCTCTCTGCAGTGCTGCAATCAAATATAATTAGAGCTGTGTGTGTGTGTGTGTGTGTGTGTGTGTGTGTGTTTCTCTGAATCTTCAGGAGCGGTTTCAAGTGAAGAATCCACCATCTGCTTATCTGGAGAAACTGAAGAGTCATCTGGATCATGGAGGAGTCAGTCGGAAGGTACAACTCAGCAAGTTGCCGTTTGGTGTGAAAAATAATCTCAGAAAAGCATTTTTAAAATATGAAAAATGTAGTTGATAAAATTCTTTACCTTTTTGTGGCAGGGAATGAAAACAGTAGTCTTCACTGCCGGCGTTTTGACTGCACACCAAATTGTTTGTCAGATCTGTTCACACAAATGTTCGTAAGAGATTAAGGTTTAGTTCACCACAGGTATTTCTGAAAACAGGTTTTTTTCCTCCTTCAGTGTCAAAAAAAAAAAAAAAATCTGTCCACCACAAACGCAGTTTTAAAAAAGTCTTTGTCCAAATGAAACGCACAAACACAACTGAAGAGTTGTGAAGAGCATACCAAACCAACAGGTGACAATATAACCATAAATGTTTACCAGTCATGCAAAGATGATATTTGTCAATCAGAAGCCTGAAATAAAGTGGGTCCCCCAGACCCAAAGGCAGAGCAACACATTCTCACTTTCATCTCGTCAGACTACTGATGCATGGTCAGTGGCCTGTCACCTCAGAATATGGTGTGCTAGGTACCCCTCCCGTGTCAGTTTTGGACGTTCAGGGACGATGTGTCAGTTTACACTCGGTATATGTGTCATTTCTTTAAAAAAGGAACTTCTGTTTTCAATATAAAGTAAATTTGCATAGTGTACTACAACATATTGCATCGGCGATATGAGACCCAGGGCGTCTCATATCGCCACTAAAGGGTGCCTCTGTGCGGCGGTATCTGACGCCAGATGAGCCACCGACCAAACGTCTCTATTTGATGCGATGGGTGTGAGACCGGGTCGGACAGAGGCACAGGCTAAGCCCTGCATGTCCTCAAATCCCAGTACGGCCCCTGCATACACCTGACCTGTGGGGCTGCTGCGACTGGCCCCTGGCCTTTGGTCCTTTTGCAAAAGTGGCCCTCAGGCAAAGCAAGTTGTGTATCCCTGGTGTAGGAGGCCAACATGAAAACGTAGATGGCCCTATCAAGAGCCAGTGTTCGGTTTGTCCATTCTAGGCTACTGTAGAAACAACATGGTGGTCTCCCTGGACAAGGCCCTGCTCTGTATGTAGATACAAATACTTATTTTAAGGTGACGGAAACAAAAGGATTCTTAGTTTCAGGTGATTATAAACTAATGAAAACTAAGTTATGAATATTATAGACCATTTCTGCTAATAGATGCCCCTGAATCCTTCCCACTGGACCTTTGAAAAATCTAAATTAACTTTGATTTTATCCACCAGGAATTTGTTTTCTTTATTTGTTGCGGTTGTTGTTTGTAAGATTTACATTTCCACTGCCCAAAACTGATTAAAAAACTGTTCTATCTAGATTTGGGTCACAGCGTTAAAGCATAAATCACAAAACACATTTATTGTTAAGGAATCTGACCTGTAGTACGTCTCAAACTTGGATCACTCTTCGTTTCAGTCTACAGTCAGTTTCCCTCTTGTGTCGCTGCAGTGTTCAAATCATTCTAGTAATTGTTAAAAAGCACTCTGCAGGTATAAAACTGTCTGGTTGAAAAACTGACGCAGTAAAAATGTTAAAATCAGGCGACACAGTATAAAACCAGTGTGTAGATTTATATCCTGGTCAGAGCGTTCGCCCAGACTTTTTAATTTTCCTCCTTTCATTTAATCTGTTTATGAATTGTGACTGAGTGGAATCAGGAGTTGAGACCGTATTTATGAATGGGATGGATTACTAAATGACCATAGAGGACTTCACAGTATTTATTGTTTGTTTCGCTGGCAGGAAACTTTGAAGTGTGATTGCTCATTAAGTCCAAGCTGCTCTGACTTTTGCATTTTCTGAATAATTAAGTGTTTTCTGACTTCCTAACTTCACTGCATGTTTCCTCTCAGTTTAAGAGACGTGTCCAAGAATCCACTCAGATCCTGAGAGAGTTGGAGATTTCCCTGAGGACCAATTACATCGGGTGAGTCTCACACCAATTCTCAGAGGCTTTGTCCAGATCAAGCCATTGTTAGAGGAGAGAAGCTGATTATATCAGACAAATTAAAACTGAGCCAAGTTCGACAAAAGCCTAAAATAAAACTTTTTTAGTAGTCTGTACTAAAATAAATCTCCTTTAGAGGACAAATGTGTTTGTCTACATGGATGTACAAAACATTAGTGTCCAGTTGATATAAAACCCTTTAAAAAGCTTCTTGAAGACATTAGTTTTGCCTCTGCAATTAAATTAATCACACATTAAATTAAGACTTTAACATCTTACCTGAACGTTGCTCTGGAACATTTCAATAGAACAAACTCAGGTGATGTTGGAGAAGACATCATGTGATTTTTGTGTTTAAAGTGCATCTTTTTGTGCTTTATTTTGTAGTTTTGAAATCTTAAAATGTTCGTGTTAACTTTGTGTCACTGAGTTGAAACCTGTTGTCTCCTTGCAGCTGGGCTGAGGAGTTCCTGAATGAGGAAAACCAAGGCTTAGATGTTCTGGTAGATTATCTGTCCTTTGCACACAGTGCTGTCACGTAGGTATCCGCTTGAAACGCCATTATCTGTCATTCCTGGAACAGTCAAGTCTTAACTATGCACGTCTTATCTCTCTCACACAGTCACAGCTGTATCAAACCACCACAGGCTACATTTGTATGAGAATAAACTCTGATTCTGTGATTCACAGGCACGATGTGGACACTTTGGACAACGGCACGCTGCCCACAGACAAAAGCAAAATTGTGGACAAGTCAGTGGAAGATCTGAGCAGAAGTGCCAGTAACTCACCGACCCACAGTGCCTCTAAGGCCAGCAAGGCCTTCACAGTCAGGTACGGGCGGTCAGTGTGGGCTGATGGGAGCGAGTGAGTCATGTGAGGATGAGGAGATGATGTCCCAGCTGAGATCTGTCTTTCTGTGTGGATATGTAGGGGGATATAATGTGGGTTTAACGATCTACTACTGGACCCATTCAGTCTAAATTTAGTCATCAGTAGTAAACAAAAAAAGCAAACTACTAACTAACTACAGGGCAAGAATATGCAAAATTCAACCAAACTGCAGAAACTCAGTCAAAATAACACTGTGATCTTATGATCTTATGTGTGGCGTCAGCTTGTAATTTACATTACAGCTTACTAAGCACATTTTTATTGGGAGTGGCAAGAAAACAGCCATATCTAATGTTTTCAAACAGTTTGTGGTGTCATTAGTTGCACCAAAGATACTTTAGTCAGGACCAATTTAGTCAAAGACAACTTGATTACAATTTGCAGTATATTTGATGGTATGGCTCTGTTCTGGGACCTCTCTGCCTCTCCTTGGGCCTACACAGAAAGCCTAAGGTGAAGACAGCAAACTGCCCTTCCACATGCCTATGTGGTAAGCCTGAAGGCAGAGAGAGCAAACCTCTCTGCCCTTCCACGAGCCTACATGAAAAGCCTAAGGCAGGGAGAGCAGCAGCAAAGACCCCCTGGGAACAGAACAGAGCAGCATCAATGACAAACAGAATTGACATTGATAAGTCAGACACAGCCTGAAAAGGAGGAGCTGGGGTGGAGGCTGGTTGCAAAGCAGCAGCATGAATCATAGATCATGTTTTTTGCTTAAAACATCCAAGTGTGATTCTAAAACACCTCCTTCCAAAACCGTGGCTCATTTATTCTCCCTTTACAAACGAAAACGGATCCGTTCATTTCAAACTTTACGACCATCGCTGCCCTCGCACTTCCACGTGTCCTTTTTGGTAGCACAGACACATCCAATGGATGGCACTAGAGGGCAAAGTTAAAAGTCTGACAACAACAAACGAGGCTGCTTTTGTAGACGGCGGTGATCTGTGAGGGCATTGAATACATCATGACATGTGGACAGTGAATTCTTTCTCACTATATTATCGATTCATTTTGTTCCACCATTTCTAAAGTGTCTTCGTAGTCTCCTATGGACACATCTCACTCAAACTACACCACACTGCCTCCACAACCTCTGGTAGTACTACTCCATTTTGTCTGTATCCATAAGCTTTCAGGAAAGTGCAAATATGGACAAAGTGAACGCAGACTACAGACAGAAGGCTCACGCTGGAATTCCACTGGATGCGTGTCCGTTGCGGAACGGCTGAGCTGGTTATCCGCTGCGTGCTCCGCCGTCCGTCAACACCCACTGGCTGCGTTTGCTGTGTGGAGTGGTGCAGCTGCGCCGGACAGTGGGAGTCACGAGGACCCACGAGATCTCGCGAATTCACACATAATCGCGCGATATAACAAGATGTAGTTTCTATAAACAGAACCACAAAACCAGAGGAGTAGTAGGAAGACATCTGGGTGCACCTCCATGATTAATATCTCCTCGTCCATGGTGTCAACGGGGTGAAATGACGTCTGAAAACCTCTGACCTGTTGACTTCAGGCCTGCCTCTGCCCATTATGACGTTTTCAAGGTGTAGTGCAGGGAAATATGATCCGCCGTGAACACTGTGTATTTTATTTTGAAAATTAAACAGATATTTTATTATGTATCTGTGCACGACTTCCTGCCCCGCACGATCTGCTCTGTGCCGTTCCGGAGCGCAGACGCAACCAACACGCATCTGGTGGAATTTGGGGGTCAGTCTGTGTCGGTATATTTATCTGTTAAACACAAATGAGCCGTTAGTCTGCAGCTATAACAGGTCCAACTCTGATGGTGGGTGATTAGGTTTTGCTCATAGTCAGTGTTCCACTTCATCCCGAAGGTGCTGGGTGGTGTTGAGGTCAGCCAGTCAATTTCTTCCACATCAAACTGGGAAAACTGGAGCTAGCTTTATGCACGGGGACGTCATCATGTTAAAACAGGAAAGAGACAAACACAAACTGTTGGAGCGTTGGAACTCCGTCTCCATCCAAACCATGAAAAACAGGTCCAGACCAAAATACACTCCAGTATGTAAACAGGGTCGTCCACATACTTTGGCCATGTAGTGTCGGTAAAAACTCAAAGAGGAATTTGTAAACCCAAACTATTTGAAAATGGCCCCGTACTGTACTGAAAATATACAACAGTTAGCTCATATTACCTGCATGTGCACATGCTGTAGACTTGTGTGTACACTATTTCACAAAACACAGAATTATGCACACACACACACACACACACACACACACACACACACACACACACACACACACACACAGAAATCCTTCATCTGCTGCACAGATTTAATTCAGTTTACGCAAACACAGTTTCTGACAAAACATTCCTGATCGTCTGACAGATGACACAGTTGTAGCTGTTTGCGTTTGATATCTAAATACTGACACACACACACACACACACACACACACACACACACACACACACACACACACACTTGGCTGATATCCACACATACACTGATACAGATATCTTTGATGATGTCATGTGGTCAAACAGAGTTCAAACATATAACTTTATTTGTTATCTTTATTTAAGTAGGTTGAGTTAAGCTGATTTTTATTTCATCTTTGAGTCATAAAGATAAAGTAAAACATATTTAAACAACACACTGAGACCAGGATGTCATTTTGAAGGGTGAAGTGAGCACATCAAAATATTTATTACTGTATTACGGAATTTTGAAAGCACAATCAAGATACAAAAAATGCTGATATACATTAGATTATACTGCAGAATTAAAACACAAAAATTAAAAAAATAATTATATTTTAATTGTTTTATTAAGTTATGATTAAACAATAAAACATAACACAGTTTTTATTATTATAATTATATTATTATTATAATATTAATAGTGCTGACACACCTTGGTTGATTTATAGTTGTCGTGTCACGTCAGGTTATCTTCATGTTTTACAGCTTTGATGTTCTGAACCGTCGGAGGAAGACACGTAGTTTTGTGTTTTAACTTGACAGCCGACAGACAATAATCTAATAAGCTCTGACAGCTGTGTTTTCAAACAGAATGTGAACTCTGCAGGTTTATTCAGGGGAAATGTCACACTGCTATGAAGCTGTAACACATGAACACACACACACACACACACACACATTCTTAGACATGTAATCGTTCTGGTCTGGAGCGTCTGCATTCTCGTCATCGTCCGGCGTCTTCTTGTTCTGACTGCATGTGTGTTAATAACCTGTTTGAGTGTGAATGTGAGAAATGTCTGAGCGACAGTAAAACCTGTCATCAGACAAAGAGGAAGTTACCAGTTTGAACTCTTCTTATCTGCACTGATCTACAACTTCTCTGTGCACTTTGTTGTGATGTCATTTGGAAGATGATGATTGATGTATGGATTATAAATATCAAACGATCAAATCACATCCAATCATTGCAGCCACCACTCTGCTGCAGAACAAAACCCACTAAGTGTTAATAAATGCATATTTTAGTGCAGGTGTAGGGACGACCGAGCCATAACCGCAGCGTTTCTCACCTGCAGATTCAACTCTCTCCAAAACAGGAAAGCTCTGAGGAACTCTCGTGTTGTGAGCCAGACAGACGACGTTCATCTCTGCATCATGTGTTTACGTGCCATCATGAACTATCAGGTACTTCAAACCACCATCTTTGTTTTGTCATGGCCTTTAATGCATTTGTCATGTTTGACAGGTATGTATGGAAGCCTGTTTCTGCCAAAACAAAACATGGATTAAAAGTTAATAAAAAAGTGAAGGGATGATTAAGAGGGATTACTTCTGTATGAGTCTATACATTGCTCTTAGAAATTCCTCCAGAGCAGATCTTTAAGTTAAAAAGTGAAATCCAAAGTCAAATTTATGAGATCAAAGTTGTGACCTGTCTGCTAGCGAGGGGTGTAGCGTAGTCTTGTGTGACCTGCCTCCCTTACTTCAGAATGGGAGTCTGGGGACATTAGTCTTTCGTTTTGTAATAGAAATGGGCGGGGACATCCAGACCACGTGACGGTGTTGCCATAGGTACGGCACGTGTGTTACATGTAACAGAGACGTTGCAGCTCTGCAATATAGCTGAATCAAATGAAGTTATATCCATTTTAATCTCTTTTTGCGATGCACTGAAAGCTTCCTTTTCTGTTGTACTACGAACAAAAATTAGGGGAACAGCAATTCCGGTGTAGGCGGGTGTAAGGCAAAGCTAATCAGCCATTGGTCGTGGAAGTATGGAAGTACACGGATTTGGATCCAATCACATCACTGCCGCTGGGAGCCAGTGCTAGTTCTATTACAACTTTCCTATGGGAATGTCCACAGACGACAGAGTCAGACAGCGTGCTGACGTCATCAGCGTCTGTGTAAGAGACTAGGTGTAGCGGTACACAAAATTCATGGCACAGTTGAATACGATACAGTGGTGTCACAGTGAGGTACGTTTTTGGTACAGCAAGAAAGGAAATGCCAGAGAAATTTACTTGATTTGTAAGATTTTAAATGTATAAAAACTAACCTAATTTTGCCTTTTGGTTTTTCGTACAAAGCAGGAATTACAGTCTGGCTGAAATGGACTTGAAAATGTGAAAAGACTGAGAACTGTGTCGTACTGAACTGTAGAGTCAGACCAGTCAACTGTTTGTAAAAACTATGTTACTACTGACATTAAAATGTCAATTCTTTCACCCACTATGTGTGAGCGAGTCAACAGTCTGCTAAATACATGAATAAACATCTCTGTTAAATTGCAATCGCACATTTTTATCAAATCGTGCAGCACTACGAAACAGAAGTGGCTCCAAACACCAGACCTGTAGGTTATCAGAAGATCTTCTATTGCTGACGTTACTAACCATCTTGAAATGAGCTAGCTTAGCATAGCGTGCCTCCCAGTGTGTCTCACTGGAGGAGAATGTACTGGTTTGGGGGGTGGGAGGGACAGACATCATGTTACCTGTTACCTGTAACGTTTGGTTCGTAATGCGTACAGAACCGAAAGCCTTGTACCGAACAGTTCAATACGACTTTGAAATGAAAAGTCTAAATACTGAATCAATATTATTATCTCAGCTTACATCTCGTAATTCTGACCAAATATATTCAACATATATCTCATTTATATTTGTGTGTGTGCGTGTGTGTGTGTGTGTTGTCAGACTGGCTTCAACCTGGTGATGAAGCATCCTTCTTGTGTCAACGAGATCACACTCAGCCTCAACAACAGGAACCCGAGGTGAACTGTCTAAACTCTGATATGTGTGTGTGATGTGTTTCCTGTAAGATAACTTTGACATCATGACTCTGATGTAACTCTGTGATGTAACTCTGTCAACATCACAACACACACAAAGACTTTCATAAAACATCTGAGAATAATTGTGCATATTAACTGATCCTGTCAGGACCAAGGCGCTGGTGCTGGAGCTGCTGGCGGCCGTCTGTTTGGTCAGAGGAGGCCATGACATCATCCTCTCTGCCTTCGACAACTTTGAAGAGGTATTTAAACTTCTCTTCAGCCATGGTGGTGTTTACACCTGTGGATCCAGTGTTTGTCCTGCTGGTCTGACTCGTCACAACCAACAGTTTAACTGATGAGGAACTGGGTCGAGTTTTAAATGTTTTAATAAGTTAGGGGTGTAAAGGTACGAAGAAGTCACGGTTTGGTGCAGCATCTATTTTGAACAGACAGTCGCATCAAAGTGTCAAAGACAGTCACAATCCTCCTCCTCCTCCTGCAGGGGACTGACGTCACACTTTGACCACTGGAAACTTTGGCAAACTATTTTCATTATAAAAATAAGCAGCATTTCAAACACTTGTGTATTACACTATACAAACACTTTCCCAAAATGCAAAGGGCAACAGCAGGTTAAAAAAACGGAGAGTATCACTGATGATGTGAAACTGAAAATACAAAATAAATAGCATGAAAAAATAAAACTTGTTCATTAGGAGTGTTGCTGTGGCTGCTTTCACACCTGTAGTTGGGTTCATTTGACGCACCAGAGGGAAGAAAATATATATTATTGCATTTTAGTTTCAGTCAGGTTCTTGTTCACACTGACTTTACGAACGAACCAAGAGGAGTAAACATGAAGGTCTCCCGACTGACAGGTAACTTCCTGAGTGGGCGGTTTTGGTGTGTGTCATCCTGCATCATAAGGAGGAGAAATCAAATCCTGGTGACTGACAGAAGTTTCCGCAGCAGCACTTTAATGCTTCTTAAGTGTTTATATTCATATTCATAGAGAAATAACTGATTGTGAGCATTATTAGGAGGCTGTTATCAGACTGCAGATCAATCACATGTTCTGAATAACTAGTTCACACCCATTGGTATCTTTGTCACCTTCTACCTATGCCAGTCGTCAATGCCTCTGTGCAGTTTCACATAGATTGACCACGTCAGTGAGTAGAAAAACGTGGGACAGACAGAATGACTGACTGACAGAATGACACACTGACAGTTTGCATGATTATGTACAGCATACCATACCATGACTTAGTCATACCAAACATTAGAAAACAACACCAACATTGGTCCACAGGGGGAGCCACAGCGATCGGTCGCATTTTAGCCATTTTGAAGCATTTTTCTGTTGTTATAGCGCCACCCAGTTGCCAATTAGAGTTAAATTTCTCCAGTCACCTTGAGGCGTCCTGTTCTACATATCTACCAAGTTTAGTAAAAATCCATATGGCGGTTAGGCCTAGATAAGAAATGAGCTCTCTAGCGCCCCCATTTTGTTTGATGGGGTCAATAATGAAGGGGTCCCCTCAGATTATGTGTGGTCATATGCCTACAAAGTTGCGTGGTGATGGGTGAAACCCTTGAGATGTTATACACCTTTATGTGATGAGCCACGCCCTCCGCAATATTCATTGCCTTATAGAAGCTCAGTTTTAGTAAGTTTTCCAACTTTTGCCAAGAGGGAACTTTAGATATTGGTCCCTAGATTATGTTCACCCAGTTTCATGCAGATCGCTCAAACTTCCTAGGAAGAGATCCATTTGAAGTGTTTTTCAAAAAATTCAAAATGGCGGAAAATCTATATAAGCGGAAGTTATGGGTTCTTGAGGCAAATGTGTTCCTCATGAGGAGAGGCATCTCTGTGCAAAGTTTCATGTCTCTACAACATACGGGGCATGAGATATGCCCATTCAAAGTTTGACATTTCAATGGGTTGCTATAGCGCCCCCCTTTGGCCAATTGATGTAATATTGCTTCATTGGCATCCTCCCATGACCCTCTACCACTGTGCCACATTTCACATGGATTGACCAAGTCAGTGAGGAGAAAAACGTGGAACACACACACACACACACACAGAGTTTCTTCATTATATAGTAAGATAAGATGACTAACGTAAAGACAGGATGAAAAGAAGGCGTCTTGTCCAGTAATGACTCAGAGCTTCATACTGTCGCATCACTGTCACACACTTTGTAATGAACAGACAAAGCACACTGAGTTGAACACAGTAATTTAATCAGGGAAAATTCCCTCACTGACGTGCATATGGTTACCATGGTTACATGTATGCATTAGCATAAAGAGGTTATGGGATACACTTTGAGATCACATACAGATTTCAGGATCAGCAGATGGATTTATTTGTTTAGCTGTTGCTACAATCTCATATCTGCATCATAAGATCTGTGGTTGGTTCGTTTCCTTTCACACCACAAACAAACTGCACCAGAGTCCGTTTGGAAGACACAGCTTTTCAAGTGGTCTCGGTTTGGTTGTTTGGTCCGCACCAGGGTTTGACTGACAGCTTTCACACCAGCTCAAACAAACCGCACTAACAAACAGACCTGAGTTTATTTTAACTGATCCAAACAGGTCAGGAGTGAAAGCATGTTAAGTGCTATACATCGTAGGGAACTGGACTTGCTTGAGTTTCTTGAGGATGTTTCACCTCTTATTCAAGAGTCTTCTTCAGTTCTGACTGACTGGTGCAGAGTGGCAGGCTTTGAACTCTGCATGGGTGTGAACCCTTACAGTGAGTCGTTGGGGTCACACGTGAGTTGTTGACCCACCCGGCCATCATGTGTGTCGTTAGGGTCAGATATGTCAGTGTTACAGTTAGTTGGCCTTGGCTATATTTGAAAATATTTGAAAATTCAAAACACCCAAACATTTATGACCCAGGTGATCAGGGATGTCATTTGTGCTCACCACAGTGTGACTGACTCGCACGCCAAGCTGCTAGTTGTGCCAACCTCAGCACGTGTTGCTCACAGCGTACAGCTAAAAATATGCAAACATAACTGACTCTTGGGAACTTTGCATCCACATTACACACATCAATCTACATACCGTGTGTTCTGTGTGTGACTGTGTACACTGGACTGTGAGAGGGACTGCGGTCTGAATACATGACCCTGTAGGCCTGTAATATATGTGTGCTGTTATACCTACACCTGAGTTTCTACACCAGAACACTGCCTATTTGGATACCCTGGCAACAATCGAAACTTTTGTAATAAAAATGTATTAAATCAAAACAATGTGACGGTGTTAAAGTGGAGTCTGTTAGAGAGAATCATCAGCTGAACCTGCAGCTCCTCTCAGCTTTATAGAGCTTTATAATAAGCTTCAGCTCATTGTTTATCTGTCAGGTCTGCACCTTTACTTCTTAGTTTTCTCTCGCTGCTCTCAATTTTCAGCCTCAGCTGTTTTAGAGAAGAAGCTGTAAAAACCTTCAGTAGTCTACCTGCTCAAACTCAGATAGAGACCAGCTGGTGAACATAGCTAAGCACTGAGCAGCTGAAGTTTAGGACTTAGATTCATCAGGTGGACACAAACATGACCCCAGGTCAGTGATCATGTCTGAGTATATAGTGGGAATTATTATACCCTATATAGTGGACTCAAAGTATCCCACAATGCACCGTGAAAAGTAGGAAGGAATGGACAGACAAGATGGATGCAGGGATGACTCAGCCCACATTATTTTAAACTGAAGCTTAACATGCAAGTGCTATCAGTGTTTCAGCACCCACATTCCAGCAGCCCTTTACTGCTCTGAAAATCAGGTTAGGGAACCCCAGACCCACCTGCCCCCCCGTCAGCTGCTCTGCCCAGTTGTCCCGCCGCCAGATGAAACTGACTGAAGAGGCGTAAATATGTGAAACACTTGTCGAGGTGCCTCTGACCTCTCCTTGGCCCTCTGTCTTCTTTGCCTGAGAAAGCAGCAACTGTTGGCCTCCTGCTGCTTCAACAGCGCAGACAGAAAGGAGCATAAACCTGAACTAGGACGGTCTAATATTAGTTCATGTCAGCAATGTTAGAAACCTGCCCTGCAACACAAGAGTTTAACGTCTGCTGCGGACCACAGTGGCTGTTGGATTCAGATCTTGTCCACTTGACTCCTCACAGTAACCCAGAGCTGCCAGCATCAACTGCCTTTTTAATTCCAGGAACACTTACAACAGCAGTTTAATTAGACTCAATGGTCTTTTACTAGAGACAGTTTAACCTCAGTTATTTGCCTTTAAGTGTCCAGCGGGAAAACACGAGACAGAAACAGAAACTAATTGATTTTAATTTGCTGGACTGAATATAAACTTCCTGCTGAGGATAGTCCCAGTGCCGGGCAGAGCACAGAACAATCTACACCCAAATAAAAGTACAATTACTCCCTTAAAAAATGACTCAAGTAAAAGTAAAAAAAAGCACCTGGCTAATACATTTATCAAGGTGCAGGTTACTTTCCATTTTAATATTTTATAGGTTGTGCGGATGAGTGCAAAATAATAAGATAACAGCACTCGTTAAGAGTTTATTTTAATGAAGTAATTACCCTAACTCCTTCTAATGAGGGTTATTCATTATAAAAGGTCAAAAAAAAGAATATTAGCCCTCTTTTAAACCGCATTTTCAAGGTGGCAATTTCATGTCGTTATGCTACCTTGCCGTTCTGTATAAAAGGGGACAGAGTTGTCTCAGATATAAGCCGGCAGCGGAGGTATTAAAAGTGCCGAAAGACGTCTGTGTAAAAGGGACAGCAAGGACTAGGCAGGGCAGGAAGTGTGACATTCTGATGATGTGTTGTGTGTGACCCACCGAAGATTTTAAAAGGCAACTGATAGCAGTTAGCAGCTAACTCAAACTTCAAACCAGTGGCTGAAAATGTCCGCAAATTGGGGAAACAACAAGGTCTGGGAGTTCCTTTCCCTTTGGCCAGGGTACGAGATCAGGGGGCAGTAAATGATTGTTATTGGCGAGTTATGCCATTGTTATTGTATATAAAGGGCTCTCAATGTGTATGCTGTGTGTCACATCAGAGGTCGATACTGTTGTGTTTCATGTCACGCCTCTTTTGCTTTTGTGATGCTGCCATACTGTCTGTATTCACACATTGAGGCGGCACGATAAAAATACAAAGGCCACGTAAAGACGGGACTTTGTAGCAGCACTGTAGTGCGATCTCGATGTAAAAAGGGCTAAAGCTAACGTCAGCTAGCTAACTACATTTTCACCTACAGGGCTCAACAATAAGGATTGCCCGATTGCCCGGGGCAAGTAAAACTCACGGTCGGGCATGTAAACTAACAACTCACTTGCCCGATCGGGCAAGTTGCTAAAAATAGTAAAAGTTAATAACTAATTGATAAAATAAATGTATTTTAAAACGTGCTCCTTCTGCTCTGATGCAGCGGTCTCTCTGCCTGAAGTCACAGGCACAGCTGTGTAACAATGTCCTGCCCACAGCCCCCATTCATATTATTTTGCGCGACGGACGCTTCATATAATAACATAACAATATACTATTTATGGTGTTATGTCATCGTGTCATTTCTGTCTCTACATGGTCAGGCGTTGTCACGTAAATAACAACTTCCAGCACTTAAATAGGTCATAGCATAAAACAGCAGCATGTCATGTGACTTTTTACTTTTATTATATTCAATACAATTGTATGTTCCTAAATCTTGAGACACCTCATATGTAAGCTAGACAGACATTTCACCTGCTCATTACTGTGCACACATGTACTGTATGTACTTAGTCCTAAAGAGCCCTTCTGGTGCCAGTAGATACACAGAAACATCCCAGCAGGCTGTGCTTTGCAAGCATACAAAAAAGTTTCACGCATGTGAAAATTATTTTTCATGCGTGTGCTTCACCTCCGCTGCTACAACTCCATCCTAGGGGAAACACTGCTGTGTGCGTTTTGTGCAACAGGTGGATGTGGTAGTCTACTGGTAGAGTAGAGAGAGAGCTAAGTAGCGTTGAAGTAGAGTAGAGCAGGGCAGAGAGATGGAAGCAAAATATATTAAACCCGGTGTTAATACAGCAGAACTGGAGAGAGGGGTGAAAAATAAATAGAGGTGGGCATGGCTCAAGTAGGGAGCAAAATTATAGACGGAGAACGATTGACAAATTTTTCACTTTAAGCTCTGACACTGTCATTTTTGTGTAGGAATTAAGCTACAATACATGACATATGTTGTTTTAATTAATAAATACAGTGTGAATAAAGATCACATTACATAAAAATAACTGCAGTCTTTGTTGTTTGATAGCCGCTTAAATTAAACAATTTTTATAGGGCAAGTAAAAACTGACTTCGGGCAAGTAGATCTCTGACCAACTTGCCCGACCGGGCAAGTGAAAAAAAACCTTAGCGTTGAACCCTGACCTACAGTTTGTGCAACTCACTGCAGTGTGCTTGTGGAGGTTTAAAGAGTTTTTAAAAGTGGAGATCTCAGAGTTTTTCATGAGGCACAGCAGCACTTCATGTTACTGTTGTCGTTTTTAGATTTTAGTATAAAAAGTGTGGTCAGAGATTGTATTTGGAGGCTTCCTCTTGTTCTGGGTTTTGCACTGTCATCATCACATCGTGGTCAAAAGACAGGTGGTGCTTCCTTTTCTTCCAGGCAGCTGGAAACTTTGCGTCTGCAGTAGAGGTGCTTCCCAGAGTAGAAGTACAGTTTTAAAAAAAGGAAACATTAAGAGCACTCATTCCTTCATTACATCTTTGTTGTCCTGAGAGCGCTTGTGTCCTGACACCGAGGCATCTGACCGCCTGAGGCAGAGCACATTGTAAACATTTCAGACCCCCTTCACTCAAATATGTGTTTTTCTTTTATTTATGTTTTCTAAAATGTCTGACCCTGACTAAATGGACTTGTATCTGTGCAACGTTTGTCACCAGAGAGGTGTTCCTTTACTGCAGGGGGCGCAGTCTGCACGTCAGTCACATGAGAAAGTAGCACTAGCAGAGCGCAAAATATTTTTGAAGATATGAATGAACTTAGCGTAGAAACAGCTGTTATAGCATGTCATGTGGGCCTCACTGCGTCACCTCATGTTACCCCCACACACTGCAAACACAGGTAGAAACAATTCATTTATTCCAGCCAGAGAGAAGCGATCAGGTGAAGTGTTTACACCGCTGCTCTCATTGTGAATAACTTTCGACTGGTTAATTGGTGGCTCTAAATTGTCCGTAGGTGTGAATGTGAGTGTGAATGGTTGTCTGTCTCTATGTGTCAGCCCTGTGATAGTCTGGTGACCTGTCCAGGGTGAACCCTGCCTCTCACCCAGTGTCAGCTGGGATAGGCTCCAGCCCTCCCTCCCACAACCGATAAGCGGTTATGAAAATGAATGAATGAATAAACAGGTGCTCATTTAATTATTTTTATCAAACAAACTGGAGAAAATAGTGGATTTGTTGGGGACTATTTTCAGCAGCGGATTAATCCTCATTTAGTGCCCTAGTGAGTATTTGTGGCAGCAGGACGGTGTGTATGTGACTGAGTCTAAATAAACTGCAGTGTGTGTGTGTGTTCATGGTGATGAAGTGACACAGTGTGGCTCACTGATTTAACAACAGTGGATCTCTACGGCTCAGAGGAAGAAGATACCAGGCTTTGATACACACACATTTACTTGTCAGCAGACACACTCAGTGTTTGTTTGGTCTTTTAATGTGATTTGTTGAGAGTAAGAGAAATGTAGAATATCATCCTTTAATAAAGAAGAAATGAGACAATGAGGTGACAAGTCCTCACCTCACCTGGCTGATGAGTGCAGCATTAGTTATCACAGCAGTGACTTGAGTATCACAGTGAGCGCCGCTTGTTTTGATGCCACAGCAATGCCGACGTGTGTGTGTGGGCGAGAGAGAGGGAGTTGGAGAAAGATGGAGGGTGCGATAGATTGGTTGTAGAGTAGAGGCAGGTGGGTGGGCACTGAGCCAGCAGCTGGCTCATGTGTCCCTCAGTAGCAGAGCGTGGGCATTGTTTTGGGTTGTGCAGGCTGTCAGGTTGGCGTGCTGCATTATTTAGTGGACATGAGTGGGCAAAAAGGGGGAGGCAGAGGAAGAGACCGCAAACACAGAGAGGGACTGCTTCTAATAGACGAGACAGGGAAGCTGCTGAGCTGTTAGTTTAAAACAAATCATCATTCAAACACTTTTTTTATGTTGTTCCTCAAAATCCTCGTTTGTGTCAGGGTGTGCCTGCAAAACACCAAACACACTCGACTGTGTGTGACACAGTAATTATCTTGCACAGTGAAACTGGCTTTATTATTATTTGCATTATTCCTGTTTGTTCCTGAGCTGAGGTGAACATGAAACTATTTTCATGACCACACTGAATTATCCTCTGATTCACTGGATCAATAGATAGATAGATAGATAGATAGATAGATAGCTGCTTAACTGTAATGTTGTTTTGGATATTTCTGTGTGAGCACACTGCCCCCATGTGTGAACATGTGGAGAAACAAAACTCAAGTGTATCTAGTCCATCATCAGGAGCCTGTCTCAGAGGACGTCACTGCTCAGATCACAGTCAGATAAGGAACTCCCTTCACTGTCTCAGTACGTGAACACACAGAAGGAATTTGACGCTGTGTTTTTGCATTGCTCTCATGTACTTACACAGAAGTATTCCAGTCCCTCCAGGATCTCGTGGACTTTGTTCGGGGCGATTGTTGTGGCCAGAAGTGCCTGACATCATGGCAGCTTTTCTGAAAACAATTATGATGCATATTGCTGAGTTTTTAGGCAATTCTTTGTGCTTAAATTAGCGCAAAAAAAAGAGAAAGAAAAGATATTTATATAAATATTATATAAAAAACATGAAAAGCAACGACTGACAGTGAAAATAAAATTTGCACATGCAAATCAAATTTTCTGTAAGTGTAAGTTTTAAAATGTACAAATAGTAAAAGGAAATAAATACTGGTTAATAATATTTAGTGTATGTGCATGTGGTGCATTAAAAACTATAAAATAATCTAAATCAGGAGCAGTGGATGTTCTGGTGTTATTGGACAGTTTGACTGATTCACCTGTTCATCAGAGTGACGGCCTGCGGGAGGAAACTGTTGTGTCAGGTTGTTTTATCGTACAGAGCTCTGTGGAAGTTATATTTAACACATCAACAGTTCATCACAAAACACACTAAAAAGAACAGAAGATGACCAATGATGTGTAGTTTCAGTCCGCCTGCTGTGATCTAATGCGTACTCTCTCTCTCCTCTCGATGTGTTTCAGGTGTGTGGAGAGAAAAGCAGGTTTGAGAAGCTGATGGAATATTTCCGTCACGAGGACAACAACATCGACTTCATGGTAAAGTTCAACAACAGTAACAATCTCTCAAGACGACAGTCAGTCGTCCAATGAGCCTGCAAGTGATGTTATGTGAGGTTACACTATATACACATACACTCAATGGCCACTTTATTAGGTACACCTGTTTAACTGCTCGTTAATGCAATCAGCCAATCAGGTGTCAGCAGCTCTGTAACATTCAGTCATGTAGACATGGTGAAGACGAGCTGCTGAAGTTCAAACGGAGCATCAAAATGATGAAGAAAGGTGATTGAAGTGACTTTGAACGTGGCATGGTTGTTGGTGTATTTCAGAAACTGGAAATCTGGATATTTTCAATCATAAACTAAAAAGCTCATCTATTTAGTCTGGCCTTTGTGCAATGTTTTATAACTGTATAGTTTTGTTATTTATCTAGTCATGCTTATTTGATTATCATTATTATTGTTTAATTTGTTTTTTTTGTTTTTAATCAATATTTTATTGTTTTCATTTATTAAACTATTTTGATACTGATTGATATAAAACTGACTGATTGATATAAAACATGAAAATAGAAACACAATCAATGATGCCCATCATAGCTTAAAGGGATAGTGCACCTGTCCTCACATCACTTGCAGAGATCCAAGGGGAGAGGAGGTAGCAACACAACTCCACCTAATGGAGGCTGACGACGCCCCAGATTCAAACGTCCAAAAACACATAATTGAAACCACAAAGTAGATAATGGCTGAATTTTCATTTCTGGGTGCACTATCCCTTTAATAGAGCACAAGATGATGAAGATATTCAGTTTTCCATCATGTAGGGAAAAAAGGGAAGAAAAAAATCGTCACATTTGAGAAACTTTGGTAAATTTGGTATTTTTGCTTGATAAATATCAAAATACTGAACTGATTATCAGAATAGTAGATTACGTTTCTATCTATTGAATAATTGATGCAGCACTGCATGGAACGTAAAAGAACTATAAAAGCAATTTTAACAATTTGCAGTATTTATTCTCCGCTAGCTGCTAACTCTGCAACGATTAGTCGACTAATTGATGACTAATCGGTTTGAGTCATTTTTCATAGAAAAGTACTATAAAAGTACCCAAAAAAAATATTGGCAGCTTTACACACTCTCCCATGACGGTGAACTAAAACCATTTGGCGTGAGTACGAAACAAGACATTAGATGACATCATTTTGGGGTTTGGGAGAGACAGACCGAAATTTGTCAACGTTTTAACACATTTTTCTATAAAATGATTCGTCAGCTAATCAAAGAAATAATCGACAGATTAGAACAATTGACAAAGTAGAACCTGCTGCCTCGTCCTGCATGTTTGTATTCTTACGTTCTCACTCTGATTTGACATCTGTGATCCTCTATAAACCATAATAATCACATCTGTAGACACGGTAAATGCTTTTCTTTGTTGAAGAGGTGTGCTGTCTCCAAACAGCAGCTGCTGCAGGTTAAAGTGTAGATGAATGAATACCATGTAAACACAGCATGAATGCACAGAGGGTGAAGTTGCTCAGGTGACGTGGACACAGGGCTGCAACTAACACTTACTTTCATAATCATTTAATGTGCCAGTTATTTCATCTCTCACACGTTTGGTCCATAAAACATCAGAGAACAATGAAAAATGCCGTCACAGTTTCATGGAGCACAAGATGTCGCCATTCTGTTCAACCAGCCGTCAGCCAGGTGTTTGGTTTTCTCACATTTGAGAAACTGGAACTGTGACTTGACATTTGTGCTCGATAAATTACTAAAACTGAAAAGTTGATTAATCGATTAAGTTCCTGTCGATTGATGAGTGAAACATGAAAAGAAAACAAACTGATTTTCCTCAATCACCACAGTCGACTCAGCCTGATCTGACCTGTGTAAATCTACATGACAGACCATAATACTCACACCTACAGTCACAGTCAAAGCTTCTCTTTGCAGACGAGGCGTCCTGTCCTGCATGTGACTGTTTAAGTGATGTAGTTCCTCTGTGTGTCCACCAGGTGGCCTGTATGCAGTTCATAAACATCGTGGTCCACTCAGTGGAAAACATGAACTTCAGAGTCCACCTGCAGTACGAGTTCACTCATCACGGGCTGGACGACTACCTGGAGGCAAGTTTGACCTTTGACCCTTCAGTCATACGATCATTTAAACTAAATCCTTAAACGTGGGCGTTTTATTCTGCAGTTAGACTCAGAACCCACTGATGAATCACACTGACACAATGTTACATTCATTCTGTGCATGTGTAACGTGTTACTCAGTGACATCATGGTGATTATTGTTCTTTAAATATCTGTGTTTGTGAGCAGAGGTTAAAGTTCACAGAGAGCGACAGGCTGCTGGTGCAGATTCAGGCCTATCTGGACAACGTGTTCGATGTGGGAGCTCTGCTGGAGGACGCAGAGACCAAGAACGCTCTGCTGGAGCACATGGAGGAGCTGCAGGAGCACAACACGCAGGTACACACACACACACACACACACAGACGCACACAGTGTGTATGACGGTAATCACAATGTATGAATGAACCTTTGTGTGACAGCTGAGCTCCAGGCTTCAGGAGAGTGAGAGGGAGGCGATGGAGAAAGTGTCAGAGATGGAGAAGAAGCTCATTCAGACGACAAAAGAGGTGGAGCTCTTAAAGGTGGAGTACACTCTACTTCTCTTGATGATTTATTATTCTTAAAGGAAAAGTACAACCTGGGTTTTGTCTTCAGAGCTGTGCTTGTTTCTGTTATGATATAACTGTTTGCAGCAAAGTAATTTACAACATGGCGTTACTGAAAAAACAGAGCAGCTAATGTTGCTGCAAGAAGTTGTGGAGTGAGATGATGTGTAATGCTGCTGATGTTTATGGTTAGTATTTGATTCTTTAGGCCACTTTACTGTGATATTTATGGTCATATACACAGACTTCCTCCTGTCTCCTGACTGTGTCCGTATCGCACTGTGTATCGTAGGAGAGTCTGCGTGAATCCTGCTCCCAGGTGACGCTGCTGCAGCAGCGAGAACGAGAGAGAGAGCTCGAACGTGAGCGGGAAAGAGAGCGCGAGACAGACAGAGATCGATGCACTCAGGCCCTGAGGGAGCTGGAGGTTAAAGTCCAGGCTCTGGTGGAGCAGGGGCTGGTCAGGATGGAGCGCTCCTCCTCTGGACAGCTGGATGTTCAGGTGGTCCCCGTCATCCAGCACGTGATCCAGAAAGGTCAGAGCTGCTGATCGTGTCACACCAGCAGACTGGAATAATCACTATTACTATTATTAGTCTAATTACCTGAGAGCCACTGGTCAGATTGTTCTCTCACAGGAGGGCCAGTATTCACTCATTTTTTCCTGCTGCTCTACGTGATAGAGAATCAGCTTCCTCCTCCAAAGATGAGACAGGAAGCAGTCACATTAAACGCCATGAAAAGAGTTTCACTTCTCTTCAAACTCTCTGTCCTCCAGGTCAGGCTGTATTTGAGGTTCACATAGAGACACTTTGGTGCCACGTCTGTCACCTTTAAAAGCTGAATGTGAAATGAAATGACAAATGTTATGCTCAGATTTTGCAGCCTTAGAACTGTGGAGAAATATGAATTAGAAAAATGTATATTTGTGGGACAGATTTAATACTAAATTCCTAATATTTGATGGGCCTCCTGCTCACACAGCATGCTGTTACTATGATGAATTAGAAATAAGATTTTTGTATTAAATTAGTCACAAACGTTGATAAAATTTCCACATTGAGTTATAATGTCTGTAATTTCTCAGCAACCAGCACCGATTCTTTTATTGACCACAAGTTTAATTCATACTCCGGCAGCCTCCTCTGCAGGTGGTGTGATTACAGATGAAGTCAATGTGAAGACATGAGCGGACATCAAATTCACCGTCCACTGGGTGGTGTGAATTAAAGGCAAAGACTTGTTTTTGCAGGTTGAAAATCAGCTTATGTGGAGATGTCAGTTCAGTTATCTGGAAACAACTCTGTTATTTTGCACTAATTATCAGTGAAATGTTTCATGTCAGTGATTACAATTAGTTGCTCAGCTAGTGTAACAGTTCACGGCATCATGTTTTCGGGTTGTCTGTGCGTCTGTAAGTCCTATTCTCATGAACGTGATATCTCATGAATGCAAAGAGGGATTTTCTTCAATTTTTGCCACAAGTGTCCCCTTGGACTCAGTGATGAACTGATTTGACTCTGAGGGTCAAAAGTCAAAGGTCAAGGTCACCATGACCTTGCATCTGTTTCATTCTTGTGAACACAATATCTCAAGAACGTCTTTATGGATTTTATTTATTTTTTATTTATTTTATTTTTTTCAAATTTGGCACAAACATCCACTTGGACCTAACAATGAACTGATTAGATTTTTTTGGTCAAAGGTAGGGATGGGCGAACGATCCAAATTCAGTAGTTGATCATCAAAAAAATTAACGATCAATTATCGATTAATTGATAAGCGAGTATTTCAAAAGAGAGAAAACAAAAGAGTGCAGTGCAGACTTTCGCCGCAAGAGAGCGCAGCTGCCCCAGTTCTGAGCTTCAACCCCCCAGACCAAAGAGGAAGAATGGCGCGCATGCGCAGTTCATCCCTGGGTGTTTACAACCGTTGCCAGCCAGAGTTACAGGCTTCAGTTTTCAGCGAAACCTCCATCTTTCAATGGCGTAGTGTTTTCAGAGGCCTCAAGGGAAGCCGCCGAGGCTTTGGAGAGCGATGAGAGCCTCCATCTGTTTCTGATTTTTTGCCTGGCATAGGTCTGGCGGGGTCTCGTAGGCGGCTCGCCGATTAAGGTCAATTTCACTGTTAACTGCATCCATTTCATTCTTGTGAACGTGATATCTCAAGAATGTCTTGATGTAGTTTTTTCAAATTTGGCACAAACATCCACTTGGACTTAACAATGAAATGATTAGATTTTTTTTGGTCAAAGGTCAGTTTCACCGTTACCTGGCGTCCTTTTCATTCTTGTGAATGTGATATCTCAAGAACACCGTGAGAGAATTCACAGATGAACTGATTTTAATTTGTTGGTCAAAGTTAAAGGTCACTGTGACCTCATTTGTCTCATTCTTGTGAACGTGATATCTCAAGAATGTCTTGATGTATTTTTTTCAAATTTGGCACAAACATCCACTTGGACTTAACTATGAGCTGATTAGGTTTTTTTGGACGAAGGTCACAGTCCATTTCATTCTTGTGAACGTGATATCTCAAGAGCAACTTGAGGGAATTTCTAAGGTTTTGAAAAAATTGGCTCGGCTAAAAACAACAAGCCTTACCGTCTGTTGGAGGTCACATTTGGCCTTCATCGTGTTCTTCTTTCTACATGGCATCATACCACACCGGGACCGTTTTGCCTGCCCAATTTTGTACACTTGCAGTTCTTGTTTATTTGATAATTTTTCTTTGATATTTGTGTTTCTAACGTAAGTACCTGTAAGCAAGCAGGATTTGTAGTGAAACTGTTCCTTTTCGTTCAGCTTCCAGGGGGAGATCTGCACTCTGTCTTCTTTTGTTGTTGTGTTCGGGATGTTCCTGGGCACAGTGTGCAGGTGAGGTCGGGACTTTTTAAAAAAAGAAACGACCATAAGACTGTAAGCAAGCTCAGAAAATCACGGACACAGTGACAAAAAAAACACAATATAGTGAGGCGAGAAGCCAAGAGGACAAAGCTCGTTCCAAAATGAGGGTGAATGTGTGGCGGCTTTAACTTTCACTTTCACTTTTCCTGACGATACCGTTTACAAACGTTAAACTATAGTTCCTGCATAGTGCACCTTTAAATTTTATCCAGAAAGGTCTACTGGCTCCACTTCATGACAGCACAGAGCTGAGAGTGTCTTTGTTCTCCCCACAGCTAAAGAAGAAACAGATTCAGGTAAAGACCAGGAGGCGTCTCCCTCCTCCTCAGACCTTCAGCCTCAACTCTCTGAGGCTCCTCTGCAGTCAGCGACAGTACAAGCTCCTCCACCACCACCGCCTCCTCCTCCACCTCCCCCTCCTCCTCCACCTTCAGGCTCAACTGCAACTCCTCCTCCTCCTCCTCCTCCTCCACCGCCACCAGCAGCTCCACCACCCCTGCTGCCTCCTGGAGGTGGTACGACCCAGCCATCAGGGGACGTGACTGATGGGAGCTCAGGTGAGTTCACCTGGCTCTTGTTCTGCTTAAAGAAAAGTCTGAGAAATAAACAGATATTTTATAACATTATTTAGATTTTCTATTTTAGAAGATGAACATTTTTTCATTTTTCTTCCAGGCTGTAAAAAGAAGAAGCCGATTCAAACCAAATACCGAATGCCACTGTTGAACTGGCAGGCTCTTAAATCCAACCAGGTGGCAGGAACCATCTTCAACGAGCTGGACGACGAGCACGTCTTAGAGGTTTGTGTCCGTCTCTGTTTCCACTTCATACAATGTGAGAGCATCTTTCCAGAACATGAAAACCCACTGACTCTCCCACAGACACAGTGAAACACTTTCTTCATTATATTTAATACAGTAATCAGAAATATTTGGATTTAAATGGTGTAATTAAACTTGCAGTGTACATAAGTCCTTAGCAGCCTTTTACACTGTGTCAGTTATTATAAGACCTGTAATGTCATAAAACAGTTTGTATTGTGTCTGTATTTATATTGTTCAGCAGTGGACAGTGAGGGTCCTAATGCAGTTTTAATTTAATAAAGAATATCTTCATTAAAACAGTATTATATTTTACTTTGTTCTTTATTTGTCTCTCTGGTCTGAATCATTTCCAAGGTGTCACTTATACAATAGATTTTTTCATGGTGGACATTTTGACTTGTAGCAGGAAAAGCACGGGTGGAACAAACAGTGGCTGTGGTCCATCTGGTCTTTTTCCTGCTGGTACAAGCCAAAATTTCTGCTGTGAAAAAGGTCTGTTTACACCAAAACCGCACCAAGCAGTGGCAAAATGCGGCCTGTGGCAAGCTACCATGCAATGGCAATGGAAAGCTGCAGCGGTCGCTCTGAGAGCTGGCCAGCTGTTAAATTTTGTGGCGGAGTGCAACAGATCTTTAAGCTGCGGACAGTTTAACTTCTAGCAGTGAATTGTGGGGAGTTGTATTCTTGTATCTACATGTCATGTTGCCATGTTACAAAGATCTTCCTCCCGCCTGAAACACATAAACGCATCTCCTTACTGCAGACAGATGTTATCACTGCTGAGCGCCACACTTTGCTGCTGCTTGATATGTTTTCAACATGAGAAATTTCTTGTTTCATCGCCACAAACATGAGCCACGTCCATCTGTTCTAATTCACCTCTGCATATTTCTGTTCTCAGGAGCTGAACATGGCGACTTTTGAGGAGCAGTTTAAGACCAAGGCGCAGTCCGCCCCTGTAGAGCTCGGGACCCTCAAGATGAAACTGGCCCATAAGACCCCCAGTAAAGTGTCTCTAATGGAGCCCAACAGGGCCAAAAACCTGGCTATCACCCTGCGCAAGGAGGGAATGGCTGCATCTGATATCTGCTGCGCAATTGAGACGTATGTACCAAAAGTCATCTGATCAATCTGACTGTGAATCATCTGTTGTTTTAGTTTTATTATTCAACACGTGTGTCACTGGCGGCTCCGCAGGTACAACCAGAGAGCTCTGAGCCTGGACTTCCTGGAGCTCCTGGAGCGTTTCATCCCCACAGAGTACGAAATGAAGCTCATCCACAACTACGAGTACGAGGGCAGGCCCCTGGACGAGCTCAGCGAGGAGGACCGCTTCATGGTGCTCTTCAGCAAGATCCCGCGGCTCTCACAGCGCATCAGCACGCTCACATTCATGGGCAATTTCCCCGAGAGCGTCCAGCTAATACAGCCGGTGAGTTCATGAAGGAGGGTTCAGTAAATTTAACTGTGTCAGAGAAGAGACTGAAGGTCGGAGGCATCATGTCCCTATGCTGAAGATGTGTGAGGAAATAGTCCCGTCATTAAAGATTGTTTTATCAGCGAAAACTTCCATATGTTATTGAAAGCATGTTTTATGTGAAGGAGTGTTAACGTTACGCTGAGTTAAAACAAAGATTTCAAGAATAAAGTCAGAACACTACAGAAATAGTCATGATTTTGAGAAAAAAATCATTGTCTTAAACTCTAAATGATGTAATTATGTATGTAAATTATTGAGGAAAAAACTCATAAATTTACTGGCAGAAAGTCGATGCAGTCGACACAGTATAAAGAGCAACACCATCAATGTAGGAGGGAAGTTGTGATGGATGAATGGGTCCAGCGCAGGACTTTCCCCCAGGAGAGCAGGGTTTGTGTCCCGTCTGAGGCCATGTTGGTTTGTTATTTTAAGACTTAGTTAAATATGAGTTTTTAGGATGTATAAAGCTGCTGAATGCACACTTCTACATCACCTTTGTCACTCTGTACATGTCACCTGACTTTCTGGCAAAAAAAAAATAATCTCAATTTTTTTAAATTTCTTTCTAGTAAATTTACGTATTTATTTAATATCACAACATTATTTCTCAAAATATTTTGACTTTATTCTCAAAATCTCCCATTATTTTCTTCCTCAATGTGGCCCAAGTACTCTCTACTAGGACTAAGTCTTTATTTATTAATTTCTTTATTTGGATTCGCATTAGCGTCCACAGAGGGGTCGCTATAGTCCACACAAAATAGTGACAATAAAAGCAATCAGCAAGTATTAGTAAAACAAAAAAGGCAAAACATGCCAAATCTAAGGGTCAGAAAACAAGTGAAATACATATCGAATGTCAATTAAGTCAATATTATATAACTGATTTCAAATGAATAGATAAATATGCCTATGAAGTAAATCCTGAAATAATTTTATGGCTTTAGTCTGATTTATTTCTGTATTTAATATTGGCTTAAATGGCTCTCCATAAATGCAGAGAAAAAAATCGAAAAGCATGAAAGGTGAAACACACTTTGATAATTCATCTTAATGTCCTTTAAACAACACAACTGTCTGTTTTAACAGACGAGGCCAGAGGTAAATCAAAGACTACTTTAATCTGCTCGTTTTATACAGTTTGGATTTCTGTAAATATATTTGGCTGAGAAACAAATAATTAATCTCAGTTTCAACTCTGTCTGGCAGCAAATGAACGCCATCATCGCTGCGTCGATGTCGATCAAATCCTCCAGCAAACTGAAGAAAATCCTCGAGGTGAGTACACAACTTGTTATAACAATTAAATGTGTTTGATCTTCAGCTGATGTTCGACCGATGTTTTACACTTCTGACTCAACATCACGTCTCTGTGCTATGTGGGAGTCATTTGTAGAAAAGAATTGCACAGTTGGATATTAATTGTAAAGTCTATAAGTTGAAGAACTCTGAATTACAGCTAAAAGATCAGTTTAAGTCCCGTCTCCACCAAACCTTTCAGTCCAGCACCTTTGGAACCAGCAGTAAGCCTTCAGACATGGTACCTAGACCCTCGGTGTGTTCAGACAGTCCTCTTAAATGTGGGCGGGGTTGTTGTCACTCACTGCTCCGTCCAGCACTCGCTGTATTTCCTCATCAGCGGTGACACAGATGGAAGTCTGCACCTGGTTTATCGTCCACAGAACGAGGCTGCACGCCCACATTTTCACAACAAAATAGAACAGGCTGCAGTGAGAGTCTCTCTCCATGGGATATTTAAAAATAGCAGCTTTGTGCATTTAGTCCTTCTCAGGCAAGCTCAGGGGTTTAGTGTTGCTGTAGCCCACAGGAAGTGAGGATTAGAATATATGACCTTCACATAATCCGCTCCAAATTCATCTATATTTTTAAAGTCATTACTAAAAGTGTGTGTCATATAAAAACTAAAGTGATGGTCAAAGTTGTCACAGTGAAATTTAAGGTGTGCTGATGGATTCACGTCATCAACTCATGCATTGAGTAACATTACAAGTTAACGTTCCACCTTAAAAGTTGCCGGCAGTCGGCCCAGTGAATGAAGTTATTTTTTTCTCTTTCATTTTATAGTTGTAGTTTACTGATGTATGAACAGAGGTTACATAAAACCAGAGTGAGCGTCCTCTACTGACCAATCAGACTGCAGGGTTTCTAGCTCCACCTTTTAGTACCAGATCTGTGTGCTAGGTACCCCAACAGAGGGGGGACCAAACATGGGGACGCTAAGGAACGCTTCTGTTGGGACCATCCACAACTTTCACTGCAAAGACAGAAAAATGACAAGAATTTCATGCGTCGGCCTACAATGGGAAAACGGTTGAATCTGGTGGAATACAGTAAAATTGTCAACTATCACTACTTTTCTTCAAAATGAAATGCTGACATTACAGAGTACATGGTTTTTACTATAAATGCAGGGAGATTTAAAAAATGTGGTTTTAATAGAAGTCAATGAAGCATTTGAGGCCATGAAGGCGTCCAGAGGGAGTATCTGACACTACATTAAAAATACTACTGCAGTCAAATCAATTTTGTTGCTAGTCTTTGACATACCCAAGACTCTAATCACCACCAAAGCTCCATCCCCCTCCTATTTATTATATGGAAACTAAAACATTTTTTTGTGTTTTTTTTTTTTTTTTTTTTTTTTTGTAATAAAAATTGAAACATTTAAAATAATTAAACTGTCATTTAAAGGGTTAAAATCCTTAAAAAAATGACTGAATGTTTGGTAGTTCTGAGCAATTTTGAAGTTGCTTAAGTGATTTATGAAAAACAGCAGAAAAAAATATTGATGTATGATTTAATAGCAGTTTTTCGTGCGTGTACATTTTTGCCACAAAGGTGTCCAGAGGGTGCAAAAATGTATCAGGAGAGTAAAAGACACTGGATTTCAGAAATGTTACTAAAAAGAAAAGTTCTTGCAAAAATTTATGCCACAAGCTGTAACACATCCAAATCAAAAAAAAAGTTGAGGGAGGCGAAAGGGTTAATGTCTTAAACTTCAGGCCCATGTGCCCTCTGTGTGCATGAATGAATGATTTTATCGTTGCTCACTGAAAATAAAGTTTCTGTCTCTCTTTCTGATGAAAAGATCATTTTAGCATTTGGAAACTACATGAACAGCAGCAAGCGAGGAGCAGCGTACGGCTTCCGCCTGCAGAGTCTAGATCTGGTGAGTCCAAACGTCTTCAACTTTTTAATGTATCATCACCTCAAATCCAGAAATCATTTAAACAAATAAGTCTTATTTTTGACTGTTGTTGTTTTTTGTTTTCTGCTCCCAAGCTGTTAGACACCAAATCGACAGACAGAAAACAGACGCTGCTGCATTTCATCGTCAACATCATCCAGGAGAAATATCCAGACGTCCAGTCCTTCTACACAGAGCTGCACTTCCTGGACAAGGCAGCGCTGGGTGAGTACGTGAACACAGGTGTTGAGGGACGTAGCAGCAGCAACTTCTTTAATATTTTAAAAAGTTTACAATATATAGACCCTTTTTTACTGTTAGTAAACAGTATGATTAGTGGTGGGCGGGGCTTAGCTGAAGGCAGACAGCAGACAGCAGACGTCCCCTCAACTTAAGAAAATAAATAAATATTATTTCTGTTATGTCGAGTCCTAAATATTATATAAATAATTGTAGTAACGGCTTCAAATTGCTGTGGAAACAAAAAGTATACTGAAGGTGTTATTATATGTTACATTATAGGATGTTTGTTGTATGTTTTGATGCGTACTATGACAAATATATTTCTTTCCAGGAGATTAATATTTAACAGAAATGTTCCTTTGGTAGAAATTGAATGGATCATGGTTGTAAATTCAGTCACTCTGGTGCAGATATGAACGTGTCAATTGTTAATGAGAAGTTAAGACATCATTTTTCCTTTGTGCAGTTTATCTGTCCTCTCACCCCGACACCACAGTGTGACCTCTGCGTCAGCGTTAATACCATAAAGTGGAATTACAGCACTATCAGCTATGATACAAGTGTTAAATTGAACTTGTGAATGAATGTGAGCTGACTCTCTCGTCTGCTGTAGTTTCTATTGACAGCATCCTGCAGGATGTGCGGGCTCTGGAGAGAGGCATGGAGGTGACCAGGAGAGAGTTCACTGTAGAGAAAGACAATCCTGTGCTGCAGACGTTTCTCAGCCGCAGCACCGAGCTGCTCGACTCGCTCATAGCTGATGGAAAAACTGCTCAGGTCAGATTTGTTTACCTAAATACAAACTGTCTCCATACAAACACCATTTTGTATTCCATTAATACACCTCTTATGGAAACCCATTTACACCTGAGTGATAAAAAAATTCATCCTAGCTGTTGTTATGAGACTTTCTTGAATGTATCACGTGGTTTTGAAAAAATAATGACTTAGTATCTCATAATAATGTGTTAGTATTGTAACATGAGCAACTTTCTCACTTAGGATCTCAAAATAGTAAGTCAGTGTCTCTATTGACTTAATATCTCATAAAAAATATATTTATCATCTCAAAATGAGTTAGTGTCTCAAAATAATGAACTGGTATCTCAACAATATGACTGCATCTCAAAGTAATCAATCAATAAATTATTTATTTGTCATTGTCATAATAACACAGTTATAAATATAATATATTATTTTAAGACAGTTATTATAAATAATTGTCTTAAAATAATGACTTTGTATTTCAAAATATTGTCTCAATATTTGAACATAATGACTAAGTATCTCTAAAAAATGACATAGTATTTCAAAAATAATGACTGAAGCCCTCTGTCTGTAATCATTATGGATAATGTCAGTAAAAATTACGGCAACTTTTACCTTCTGTAAAACGGTCCAGAGAAAATACCTCGGGTAGTATTAGTCCTGTGTGAACGCGATCCTCTGTAAAAATGTATGTAAATATTTCGTCACGTCCTGTTTACAACCATTTTTTCACATTTACAACTAGTTTTCCACGTTGTTTCGATGATGGAGGCGCTTGAAGAAGCACTCGGTGTTGTCGGCAGTCGTGATAGTGGACATTCTTCTAATGATCACACAGCCCTACGTGGGAGACCAATCAACAAGGTCGAGAAGAAAGCTACAAGACTTCTGGTTGTGTTAGCTAGGCCTGATATAAATCCATATTGCTAATGGTTGTGTACACACAATCCTGATTATGGGCAATGTTTCATATTGGGCTAATCATTAATTATTATTACACATACAGGACGCAACGTAGCACGTACATGCCGACAGGGAGGTGACGCCAGGGCGCAAACCGAGTTAGCACACCCATCTCTGGTAGAATTACGAAGATTTCTTGTTCCGTGTGAATCGGACATTTATATGACAGACATCCTGTGGTAAACTGACATTAGTCCACATCATCTCAAGGCAATTGAATCAAACACAACTGGACTTAGTTTTGTCTTAGAAGACGTTTCACCTCTTATCCAAGAGGCTTCATCAGTTCATGCTTGTCTGACTAGACTGGAACTCGTCTGACAAACTGGTGTGGAAGCACCCAGGTATTTAACCTCTGGGGAGGTCTTCACAAGGCCAATGATGTCACTGGTTCGTTAGTGCTCCAATGGTGTGTCAACGAAAGTCGTTGAAACTACTGATGCAAAGGTTGTCACTGGAGTCGTTAGAGTCACATGAGGCCATTTGTGAACGACCATTGTTTTTCGAGGTTAAGCTGTTAAATCTCCTGGGCAAGGATAGGTGCTGTCCTTTCATCCTGTGGATGGATAAATGAGAATATCCACAGGCATTAGTCCACATCCCTATGTAAAACTAATCCTGTCCCAATAGTACTTCAGTGTCGCTAAAGGATGACTTAATATCTCAAAATGAGTGATTACCTCAAAGTAATGACTTGGTATCTCAAAATTAATCAGCATCTTGAAATGAGGTTGTATCTCTGAAGAATTAGTTTCTCTAAATCATGACAAAGTACATCAAAGTAATAAGTTATCATTTCAAAATAAGTTGATATCTCAAAATAATGTCAATGAATCTCAACATGATGACATAGTATCTTGAAATAGTGATTTAGTTTCTCAAAATAATGATTTCTTATCTTGAATTAATGAAATTGAACTTAAACAAAATAAACCTTGTGGCGAGCTCACCTGGTAGAGCTGTTGCCTCATATACAAAGAACTGGTCCTTGCTGTAGCGGCCACGGGCTCAACTCCAACCCAAGGTCCTTTACTGCATGTCATTCCCCCTCTCTCTCATCTTCACACTACAGTTGTCTCATCAAATAAAATATTTTTTAAAAAAATTAAAACTTTCTCAAAAAATTGACTTACCATCTCTGACAAGGCTTAAGTCCAAATATTTAGAAGGTTTTTCACCTTTAAAAAAAAAAAAAATTATATTGAGACACTAACTCAGTAATAATATAAAGAAGCTGATAATGAAGTTTCTCACTAAAGTGACGCACAGGATCTGCTCTGTTCATCACTTTGGCAGAAACGCACTTCCATCCTGCCTGAAGCTAAAGATTGTTTTATCTCTGTCTGACAGGATGCTTACGACTCTGCTGTGGAGTACTTCGGCGAGAACTCTAAAACCACTCCGCCCTCCATGTTCTTCCCCGTCTTTGTCAGGTTCATCAAAGCATACAAGGTCAGATAACGCTCCTTTTATTGATCCCTGGCACGACTGAACCGACGGTGCAGATACTCGCTGCTTCACTGATAATGAAAAACAGACATTACTGTACACTGTACACATATTACTGTACGCCCAATCAGAGAGCTGATGTCACGCTTATTATCTGACTTTCAGAAGCAGAGAAGTGAATTAAAATACTGTTTCTCTGACAGCAAGCTGAGTGGGAGAACGAGCAGAGGAAGAAACAACACGTCCTGAACTGTGAAGCTCCGTCAACTCCACCTAAACCTGAAGTCACAGGGAATAAGGTAGCTTGTTATTCCAAAAAATATAATACAACTGCAGCTATTCATAGACGCCCTGTTTCTGTAACTATGGTCTTATTCTGAAAGGTTTATCCTCAGTTTCTATCAGTTATAATATTATAAACAAAGTGAGGAAATGGCTCATGGCTGTTGCTAAATCAAAAAGACAGGAAGAACCTGAAACAAAGACACTGGAATATAAAAAACAAGGACGCACACTGAGGTTGTACATATGTGTAAAACACACACTGAGGTATTGGTACACACTCACACAGACTGAGGCTGTGACATTTTTTCCTGCTGCACCGGCAAGAAGTGATTTTTAACGGCTCTTTCCTCCGTGTAATTTTCAGACTTAATAGACTGCAAATTTGTTGTCTTTTTTTACGACACCTTCTTTCCTCAGATGAGTTACCAGACTAAAGAGAGAGTGTGTGTTGTACAGATTGTGAAGTAGTATGTGAGTTGTCACTTTGGGCTGTATGAGTGAAACTGCCTTGATTACAAGATCAGACAAATGAGAACCAAGCTGTAAGAAACTGGAGTCATCCTAAAGAGTTCCCACTCAGACATTCAGACATCGACATGTTTGATGTTTCAGGTTTCTGTGACGTCCAGACTGCCACAGATGGATCTGATAGCGGAGCTGAAGAAGAGGCAGGTGTCTCCTCTGGTGAGGGAGGGCAAGGACGGAGCCATCGAGGACATCATCACAGGTACACAACACCCTGGAGACACACACACACTGTCCATTATAGCATGACTTCACTGTTTACTGTGGCTGAGCTCAGTTTAACAAAGACATACACAGTGTGTTCACCATCACGGTTCCTCTCTGACTTAAAGGAGTAGTTCAGCATTTTGGGAAATGCACTTGTTTCCAAGAGTAAGATGAGACGATCAGTAGAACTAGTCCTGCCTGCAGTCGGGACATGGTTAGCCTAGCTTAGCTTAGACACTGGAGACAGGTGGTACAGTTAACCTGGCTCTGTTAAACTGAAGCTATGAAGATAATGAGCTAACGCCCCGGCCACACTGCCTGCGTGAACAGTGAGGCATCTACAGAATAGGAACTTTTTTTCTGCATGACGAGCACTTTTCAGAAAATAAAGACAAAGAAAATGTTTTTTTTTAAATAATCATATTGGCATTATACCACCTTTCAGTCTCAAGGTCTCCATCTGGCACAGACATGAAAAAATATAAATATTTCAACCTTTCTTGTTTCTGTTTCAAAATAAAAGCCCTCTGACAACAGTGTTTCTGCTGCACTGCTGCTTCCTTCAACTGTATTTCCACAATTAAAAGCTGATACTCTGCTTATTTATGGAGCCGTGCAGCCACTGCAATTTCAACATAATGGCCATACATATATTTCACAATAAAAGCCTTGTCTTAACAAATTAAGGGATACTGTCCACAGAAACATTAGGCCCGTTTCCACTGAAGAAGTTCCTGGTACTATTTGGGGGGCAGGAACTACTACAGGAACGTCCTCTCGCTCGGCCCTCTCAACCGCCGTGTCTCCACTGAGAGAGCGGAGTAGGAGGAAGGTTCCTGTAAAGTTACGGGCTCTGGATGTGATGTAATCATTGCGTGACCATTTTGACCGGGGCGACATAGGGGTGCCGTTAGCCGTTAGCGGTGTCTGTAATAACTCACTAAATGGTCCGTGAAAAAAAATTTTTTTCCAGCGGATGTCTTAGTTACAACATGATTGTGCTAACTGGAGTAGGTTCATGTCGTATCCGACAACGGGAGGCTTTTAACAGATGACGTCCTGATGTTAGCTTTGCTGCTGCTGTTAGCTGTCCCTGTCAGCTGATGCTTTCTAGACATTGTGATTTCCCAAAACTGAATAAATACCACACAAAGCAACACAAATCTGCTTTGCTAGCTCAATCATGTTGTAACTAAGATAGCCGCTGGAAAAAATATTTTACTCACGGACCGTTTATTGAGTTATTACAGACACCGCTAACAGCAGAGTTTCTCAGGGCCGCTCTGAGTACCTACCCCGAGGCAGGGACTTGTTTAGCCCCTGTAAAACTTCCGGAACTCTGTCCTTCGGGGGTGGTTCCTGCGGTGGAGACACGCACCAACGGCCCCGGCCCCGTAAAATTACCCCGAAGTTCCTGCGGTGGAAACGGGCCTTGTGTGAACACTGCACATCATAAAACGAGGTAGCTGTAACAAAGTGCTCACATAGGCAGCATGGCCTGGGTGTAAAGCTCATTATCAACATGTACCTCGCAGTTTGAACTGAGCAAAAAAACAAAAATTGAATTTCACCCTGAACTCACAAATTGTTGTTACATTTCTGTTTGTGTTGAGATTAAACAAACAAGATGCAACATGTTGATCAGCAAGCTTTAGTGTTGGTCGAGTCCGGCTGCCTGTTTCCCTCTGCCCAAAGTGTTAATGCTAAGCTAGGCTATCCACAACATGCTGACTTGTATGAAATAGTTTAACATGATAAAGATCTTCTCTCAAGAAGATGAAAGAAAACAAATATCTTTATTTCCCAAAATGTTGAGCTAACCTTTGAAGGGAAACTGAAGGTTAATTGTTGCAGCTACGAAATCATCAAACATTAAAGTGTCCCTTTTTCTAAATGAAATACTTTTTTTCTGGCTAATTGTCCGAGCCGAGCACTAAATGATTGACCTTGGGAAAGATGCACGTCTAAACATTTCCTCCTGTTAATTATTTTAGGAAACTCAGCCTTTTATCTCTAAATTCTTCACTCTCTTTTCTGTCTTTCACGGCTCACATTTCTTGTCCTTGCCTTTCTCTCTCCTTCTCTTGTTTGTCCCTCCTCCCTCCCTGTTGTTTCTCTGGTGTCTTCAGCTCTTAAGTCCGTGCCCTTCACGGCTCGCTCTGCCAAGCGCTCCTCTCGTCTCTTCTGCGACTCCGTCTTCAGCGAAGAGGTGACTTCATAAGATCCCTCGCTGCTCTGTACTGTCCTGCTCACAGCAGCTGCTTCTCTCTCACTGCACCTCTAACACTCTCACAGTTTTTTGTCTCACACTGTTCAATGACTTTTCTTCTGATGGCGAACTGTACAACAGCTGTTTTCATGACATTTCATTGACATAGCATACTTTGACTTTTTCTCATATATTTTTTATGACATATTATACAATGACTTTTTTCCTCAATTTTTTTGTGGCATACTAAACGACAACTTCTTCGCATGATTTTTTAAGACATACAATACTACAGATTTTTCTCTATTTTTTATTGCATACTGTACGAAAACTTAATTGATTTTTTTATGACAAACTATACCATGAATTTTTCATATTTTTTAAGACATAGTTTATTGACTTTTTTCATGAATTTAATTAATTTAATTTAATTTAATTATTAATAATTTAATGACATAGTTTACTATGATATTTTTCTTGATTTTGAATGACATACTATACTATTTTTTGTGCCCTACTATACTACATGTTTTTTTCCTAATTTTTGTAGTATACTTTATGACATTTTTAAAGTCATCCACCACTTTGTGTAAGCTTTGGTTCTCCAGCTCGAGGCTTTTGATGCGACTGAAGATTTCTCCTCCATCAGCTGTTCTTTGTATGACATCGTATGACACGACTCCTTTTTGTTACATTTTTTACAGCCTACTACATTATGAGATTTCTTTATGACATAACATACTGACACTTTCTCCAGACTTTTCAAGGCTCTACTGTGACATTTTTATGTCATACTTTCCTATGATTTTGAGTACTTTCCTGATTTTTTTTTATTGCGTACTTTTTACGTACATGTACATGTGTAGTACATGTGTTATGAATGTGTGCATCACCTGTTTTGTCTCCTGCTGTTGCTCATTGTGTTTGTTCTTTGTCCTCTGTCTCAGATTTAAGGAATCAGCCGTACAGACGGACAGACGCCGGCAGACACAGCGCCAAGTGGAAACCAGGACAACAGCTGCACGTTTCCTCAGACATCTCCCTCTGAAACATACTGCAGACCACACTGACCGCTTCAACTATAAAAGTACAAAAAGATCAGGCACTGAACTCACCATGGCAACCATCTTGTTGTCTCGTGCATGTTTGAGAATGCAGAGGTGAAAACGCATGTTTCAGATAAAGGCTTCAATCTCAAACTGTTCTCAAACAAATATTTTTGTGTTGGTGTCTGAATAAAGTAAAGGCTTGGACGACTGTAGAGACGTTGTGTGATTTGAATGATTGAACGTTAACGAGGGTGAATCTTAGCTGTACTCGATGTCAATGACACTGGATGTCATCAGAGCTCATTAAGACAATGACATGGAAGAATTTAGCTGATTTGTAAAGAGAGAGCTTCATTAATGCTGCTCAGCTCAGAGTGAACCTTCAAAGCATTAGACACAAAGTTGGACACACAGAACACTCACACATTATTTACACAGTTCTCTTAAAAATGCTCAAGTCATGATTTTTTTTTAAAAATTAGTTTTATTTTAAATAGAATATTAATTATGGCTATCCATCTTTCTGTCTTGTAGAAGGTCTCAAGATTTAGGCTGAAAATTTGTTATATATTTAAATTATTTTTAATACTGAAGTGTAAGTATGAGTAACGTCAACTTTGCTTCTGCATTTCAATAAATAAACAATTTTATACCGTTCTTGATTTTGTGTCTTGCTCTTTTGTGACATGCTTTACTATGACTTTATGACTGATTATTAATGTCATACTGTCTGAGACTTTTTAATGCCAGATTGTTCTTTTTATGACGTTTTGTTATGTCAGTATACTTTGACTTTTTTCATGATTTTGGACGACATGCTATACTTTGATTTTTTTCCTGATTTTTTTTCTGTGACAAACTACTTTTTCTTTTTAATTTTATGATGTACGATCACTTTTTGATGAAATTTTTAATTACATACATACATATGACTTTTGTTAGGAAATAACACTGATGTTTATGATTTATGACAGTATACTATGACTTTTGACATTTTTTTCATGAAAATTTGACATGCTATACTATGACGTTTTTTTCATCATTTTTTACGATATACTATGACTTTTTTACATGATTTTGGACGACATGCTATACTATGACTTTTTTACATGGTTTTGGACGACATGCTATACTATGACTTTTTAAAATGATTTCGGACGACATGCTATACTATGACTTTTTTTCATGATTTTGGACGACATGCTATACTATGACTTTTTTTCATGATTTTGGACGACATGCTATACTATGACTTTTTTTCATGATTTTGGACGACATGCTATACTATGACTTTTTTTCATGATTTTGGACGACATGCTATACTATGACTTTTTTTCATGATTTTGGACGACATGCTATACTATGACTTTTTTTCATGATTTTGGACGACATGCTATACTATGACTTTTTTTCATGATTTTGGACGACATGCTATACTATGACTTTTTTTCATGATTTTGGACGACATGCTATACTATGACTTTTTTTCATGATTTTGGACGACATGCTATACTATGACTTTTTTTCATGATTTTGGACGACATGCTATACTATGACTTTTTTTCATGATTTTGGACGACATGCTATACTATGACTTTTTTTCATGATTTTGGACGACATGCTATACTATGACTTTTTTTCATGATTTTGGACGACATGCTATACTATGACTTTTTTTCATGATTTTGGACGACATGCTATACTATGACTTTTTTTCATGATTTTGGACGACATGCTATACTATGACTTTTTTTCATGATTTTGGACGACATGCTATACTATGACTTTTTTTCATGATTTTGGACGACATGCTATACTATGACTTTTTTTCATGATTTTGGACGACATGCTATACTATGACTTTTTTTCATGATTTTGGACGACATGCTATACTATGACTTTTTTTCATGATTTTGGACGACATGCTATACTATGACTTTTTTTCATGATTTTGGACGACATGCTATACTATGACTTTTTTTCATGATTTTGGACGACATGCTATACTATGACTTTTTTTCATGATTTTGGACGACATGCTATACTATGACTTTTTTTCATGATTTTGGACGACATGCTATACTATGACTTTTTTTCATGATTTTGGACGACATGCTATACTATGACTTTTTTTCATGATTTTGGACGACATGCTATACTATGACTTTTTTTCATGATTTTGGACGACATGCTATACTATGACTTTTTTTCATGATTTTGGACGACATGCTATACTATGACTTTTTTTCATGATTTTGGACGACATGCTATACTATGACTTTTTTTCATGATTTTGGACGACATGCTATACTATGACTTTTTTTCATGATTTTGGACGACATGCTATACTATGACTTTTTTTCATGATTTTGGACGACATGCTATACTATGACTTTTTTTCATGATTTTGGACGACATGCTATACTATGACTTTTTTTCATGATTTTGGACGACATGCTATACTATGACTTTTTTTCATGATTTTGGACGACATGCTATACTATGACTTTTTTTCATGATTTTGGACGACATGCTATACTATGACTTTTTTTCATGATTTTGGACGACATGCTATACTATGACTTTTTTTCATGATTTTGGACGACATGCTATACTATGACTTTTTTTCATGATTTTGGACGACATGCTATACTATGACTTTTTTTCATGATTTTGGACGACATGCTATACTATGACTTTTTTTCATGATTTTGGACGACATGCTATACTATGACTTTTTTTCATGATTTTGGACGACATGCTATACTATGACTTTTTTTCATGATTTTGGACGACATGCTATACTATGACTTTTTTTCATGATTTTGGACGACATGCTATACTATGACTTTTTTTCATGATTTTGGACGACATGCTATACTATGACTTTTTTTCATGATTTTGGACGACATGCTATACTATGACTTTTTTTCATGATTTTGGACAACATGCTATACTATGACTTTTTTTCATAATTTTTTACGACATGCTATACCAGGATGTTGTTTCATGATTTTGGACGACATGCTATACTATGACTTTTTTTCATGATTTTGGACGACATGCTATACTATGACGTTTTTTCATGATTTTTGACAACATGCTATACTATGACTTTTTTTCATAATTTTTTACGACATGCTATACCAGGATGTTGTTTCATGATTTTGGACGACATGCTATACTATGACTTTTTTTCATGATTTTGGACGACATGCTATACTATGACGTTTTTTCATGATTTTTGACAACATGCTATACTATGACTTTTTTTCATAATTTTTTACGACATGCTATACCAGGATGTTGTTTCATGATTTTGGACGACATGCTATACTATGACTTTTTTTCATGATTTTGGACGACATGCTATACTATGACGTTTTTTCATGATTTTTGACGACATACTATACTATGACTTTTTTTCATGATTTTGGACGACATGCTATACTATGACTTTTTTTCATGATTTTGGACGACATGCTATACTATGACGTTTGACTATGACATTTCATGGATAATTTTATTTAAAAATGTATATTGTATTGTATGCCATAAAATTATGATATGGTATGTCAAAAAATGAATAAATGAATCATGAAAAAATCTTTGCATAATAAGCCATACAAATTTGATGAAGAAGTCATAATCGAGTAAGCAAAAAAAAAACTTATTGAAAAACAGTCAAAGTAAATAGTATAATAATAGCATAGTATTCCACAATAATATTCCGTGGTGAAAAAGTAAAATAGGATGTCATAAAAAATATGAAATAAGTCATAGTAAACTGTGTCAAAAGATGTCATGCAAAATGTTATAGTAAAACAGATTTTTAAAATTAATCATGAAAAAAGTCATAGTATAGCATGTCGTCCAAAATTATGAAAAAACGTCATAGTATATCATACAAAATCTTGAAAAAACATCATAGTATAGTATATCGTTCAAGCTAATGAAAAAACGTCATAGTATAGCTTGTCGTCCAAGCCAATGAAAAAACGTCATAGTATAGCTTGTCGTCTTAGCTAATGAAAAAACGTCATAGTATAGTATATCGTTCATACTAGTGAAATAAAGTCATAGTATAGTATGTCGTTCAACCTAATAAAAAAACGTCATAGTATAGCTTGTCGTCTAAAATCATGAAAAAACATCATCAATCAATCAATCAATTTTATTTATAAAGCCCAATATCACAAATCACAATTTGCCTCACAGGTCTTTACAGCATACGACATCCCTCTGTCCTTATGACCCTCACAGCTGATCAGGAAAAACTCCCCAAAAAACCCTTTAACAGGGAAAAAAAACGGTAGAAACCTCAGGAAGAGCAACTGAGGAGGGATCCCTCTTCCAGGACGGACAGACGTGCAATAGATGTCGTACAGAACAGATCAACAGTCGTTTTCAATTTGTTGACGTTCGTAATGAATCATCCTTACGTACCAAAGTTTGTTTTGGAGTTCCGCAAGGTTCTGTGCTCGGACCAATCCTATTTACTCTATATATGCTTCCTTTAGGTAACATCATTAGAAATCACTCTATAAATTTCCATTGTTATGCGGATGATACACAGTTGTANATGAAAAAACGTCATAGTATAGTATGTCGTCCAAAACATTGATAAAACGTCATAGATCAAATTGTGGCTTTTTCATAATATTTTTCTGGAATAATAAAAAAATCAAGTAACAAATCACAGATTCTTTCCTCCAACAGTGGCCCGACTGGTTGTTCGTAAGCTATTTCGGAATTTTTAAGTTTGAGCAGTGTCAGATGTCATAAAGTTAAATACAGTTATCCTCTATAGTTTATTTTAAAGTTTAGATTTTTGGTTTTAGACCTGACAATTTCTGTAAACATAAAAATAACACACCTTTTTCTTTTGACTCAAAGAAATCTCTAGCTTGTGGAAATGTTTAAAGCACTTCCTCTGTGTGGATCTTAACTTTCCATCTGCTGTAACAACCTCCAACGCTGAGTTTAAGAGTTCAGTTACACGACATTGCAAACATCTGAAACTGTATGCCAGCTGTTAGTTTGTTGAATGGAGAATAAAATGGCTTCAAGTAGAGACAGCAGCAGATGCTGTTGAGCACATTACACGAAAGTGACAAAATGCAGAAACTGCATCCGTGCAATGACAAAGCACCTCTGCATTTGAACATCACGACAGCGTTGAGTTTTAGACACTTAAACTGAGTGTGACAGGTGCAGAGGAGAAGAGGAATCAGAGCAGGAACAGCTCACAAAAATACTAAAATAACCAGCTGAGAAGAAGCCAGTGTTTCATGTCTGAAAAACAAACACCACCATCTCTGAAAACACACTGAAGGTTTAAACCCATACTGATAATCCTTTCCTCTTCTGCGTAATTTAGAGTTTAGAAACTATGGCAGGAAAACAGATTGTTTCTCTGCTGGTGACCTTTGCTCTCTGCAGAGCTTTAATCGATCAAAGATAAAAACAACAACAACAAAAGACAGAAAGCTTGGTGAGATTTTCTGCTGAGAGCCGCTCTTATGTGGCCAATTACTGCGCTTCATTCCTCCAGCTGCTCACATCTAATGCAGCAAAGTTTCTACAAATGAGTCGAGAGGGATTTGAGCTATAACTTTACATGTAACGGTCAACATCTATTACAAATGCATATTCTG